GAAATGAATATACAGATCATCGTACAAGGTTGACTTTATTCTACTTATGTTTTAAATTGTTATTGGGCCTAAATTATCTTGTAGTCTCGGTATTTTAAGGAATATACAGATCATCGTACAAGGTGACTTTATTCTATTTATTGTTTTTAAATTGTTATTGGGCCTAAATTATCTTGTAGTCTCGGTATTTTAAGGAATATACAGATCATCGTACAAGGTGACTTTATTCTACTTATTGTTTTTAAATTGTTATTGTGCCTAAATTATCTTGTAGTCTCGGTATTTTAAGGAATATACAGATCATCGTACAAGGTGGCTTTATTCTACTTATTGTTTTTAAATTGTTATTGTGCCGAAATTATCTTGTAGTCTCAAAACTCTTAAACACAGACTTGCACACATTGATAACCCACTCCAGAGATCAATCTTTAAATAACATAATTTGGTGATTTTTCAACAATTTAATCATTTAGTGATCTTTAAACAAAATCATTTAGCGATCTTTAAAAAAAACGTCATCATTTAGTGATCTTTAAACAACCTCAACATTTAGTGATCTTTAAACAGCCTCATCATTTAGTGATATTTAAACAGCCTCATCATTTAGTGATATTTAAACAATTTAATCATTTAGTGATCTTTAAACAGCCTCATCATTTAGTGATATTTAAACAGCCTCATCATTTAGTGATCTTTAAACAACCTCATCATTTAGTGATATTTAAACAACCGCATCATTTAGTGATATTTAAACAACCTCATCATTTAGTGATCTTTAAACAACCTCAACATTTAGTGATCTTTAAACAACCTCATCATTTAGTGATATTTAAACAACCTCATCATTTAGTGATATTTAAACAATTTAATCATTTAGTGATCTTTAAACAACCTCATCATTTAGTGATATTTAAACAGCCTTATCATTTAGTGATATTTAAACAGCCTCATCATTTAGTGATATTTAAACAGCCTCATCATTTAGTGATATTTAAACAGCCTCATCATTTAGCGATCTTTAAACAGCCTCATCATTTAGTGATATTTAAACAATTTAATCATTTAGTGATCTTTAAACAGCCTCATCATTTAGTGATCTTTAAACAACCTCATCATTTAGTGATATTTAAACAACCTCATCATTTAGTGATCTTTAAACAGCCTCATCATTTAGTGATCTTTAAACAGCCTCATCATTTAGTGATCTTTAAACAACCTCATCATTTAGTGATATTTAAACAACCTCATCATTTAATGATCTTTAAACAGCCTCATCATTTAGTGATATTTAAACAATTTAATCATTTAGTGATCTTTAAACAGCCTCATCATTTAGTGATATTTAAACAACCTCATCATTTAGTGATATTTAAACAGCCTCATCATTTAGTGATCTTTAAACAATTTAATCATTTAGTGATCTTTAAAGAGCCTCATCAAAAAGCAATGTTTGATAAGTAAGGATATACTATCTTAGTGTAGAAATAACCTGATTAAAAAGTAACAGTTTAGTAGTGATAACATTCAAGGTTATGGTTCTCAATCCTAAAAAAAATATTTCATATAGTCAATGTTTACTAGTGAGATTTTATAAATATTTACTTCCCTAACTTAAAAGCTCTTGTTAGTTTGTTGTTAATCACAAAGCTACACGAGTATCGAAACTCGATTTTTTGCGTTATAAGCCTTCAGACTTACAACTAAGCAACTGAGGGACAACCTAGAAGCGGCCTCAACAAATGAGTTTACTTGACATTATGTAAACAAAGGTTTTTATACTTTATATAATATATATATATATATATATATACAAAAGTACAGAACCAAATAATGTTTAAGAGACAAGTACTAAATTTTTTAGGTTTGTTTTTGCAGAACCTCCTGACAGACCATCTAGGATTATTGTGGAGAGGGTGGAAAGTAGAAAAGTGACGTTGTCTTGGTCAACACCTTACTCTGGAAACAGTGCCATCACACGATACATCTTAGGATACTGGCGGAAGGCAGGTGAAGTAAACTTAGAAAGTAACTATAAGAGAAGAATGAAATAACCAGGTATTTTTATGTTGTTTCAATCTACGAGCTGGTACCCACCATAATAGCCCTCAATACAAGATATAACAAAATAAAATCTCTGTGATTTGAACCGAAATACATGAATTAAAGATACCAATAAGATGAAGTTACCAATATATTAAACATACCAATAAGTTGAAGTTACCAATATATTAAAGATACCAATAAGTTGAAGTTACCAATATATTAAACATACCAATAAGTTGAAGTTACCAATATATTAAAGATACCAATAAGTTGAAGTTACCAATATATTAAACATACCAATAAGTTGAAGTTACCAATATATTGAACATACCAATAAGTTGAAGTTACCAATATATTAAAGATACCAATAAGTTGA